GTGTATTTTGTGACCCAGAAAGAGTAATATTACAACTAAGTAGCTGCCGCCATTGTTGGAATTCAACTTTTGCAAGATCCCGAGTTTGTTTTGCGAGATCTCGCAAAACAAACTCGGGATCTCGCAAAACAAACTCGGGATCTTGCAAAAGTTGAATTCCAACAATGGCGGCAGCTACTTAGTTGTAATCATCATTAACTATCTTTCCACCGTAGCAAAAGAACAGTTCAAAGAAATCACTAAAAGCCTAAAAATTATAATGACATTGTTGCCCATTATGAGCATATGTAAACTTCTGACCACCTGTATAATGACAGCCTGGCAAAAGGTGAACACTCTTAGCACTCTAAACAAATATCAAAAGAGCTCAAAAAAGATTCAAAAACAAAAAAGATCCAAAGGAGTAGTGCAAATTGAGAATAAAATTCAAATTGAGAAGTGTGATTTTTTGTTAACCTGCATTAACTCTGCACCCTGGCACTGATTTTTTTTTTCTCTTGAGCCATGTTCCCCCTTTCCATCATGCCATGAGGCTTAAACCAAATTAAGCACATGCATTAAAACAGCACTTGTTAGATAGACAGAAAAATGCAGAATGCTACTAAAACAGCAGGCCCAGCATGCACTTGGTAATTACTTGTTTTTGTGTGCCCTTTCCCTCTCGCAGTACATGCTGGGTCTTTGGTGCTCAGCGTTTTTCTCTCTTAGCCTCTGGTGCCACAACTGGGAATCACAGAATTTATACACTTCTCAGGTGGCCCCACACAAGAAAGGAGTGCAAGGTAGAGATGCATCAGCAATGGCAGTTATAGCTGCAGACTTCAGGATTAGAAATGAAATGTAAGTACTATAAAAAGACATGAATGCATATTGGAAACCCATGAATTGGCATACACCTATACAACACTACTCATCCAGATAATTGGACATAAGCTCAAGAATGTAATTGCAAGGACTGCTCTCCTTGAAAAAGAGTTCTGTTAGCCAACATCAAGAAAGCTGAAGGTTTAGACTAAGATATCCCAACAAATAATAATGATCATATAAGAAATACTTTAGTTCTTTTGTTATGTTCATCCTTCAAATCTCAATCACTGACATCTGAGATGTGTAAAATGTCAGACAGAGCTGGGGGTGTGTGCGTGTCAGGCAACGTGAAACATAAATCACTTGATGAGGTAAAGATTTTTGCTTCCAGGAGAGGATTTCCGATGAGTCCCCCAGAGATACAGTAAGAGACAAAGGCGACTGGGAAACCTGTGATGTAAACAGCATCATGAAAGTCGCACCTGGCCAACTATGTGTGTGGGTGAACATTCTTTATACACCCTCTCTATGTGGCCAGCCTTCTTCTAAATGAAAAGGTCTTTGAATTGCTCAAATTATTCTCTGCTCTGTGTAATGTGTGTAATTGCTAGATGACATTAGCACACAGAGGGAAAAAATGGATTGTGTAAACCATTGTTGTGTGTGAGCACAATTTCCTGTTTTGGGCGCATAGACAAAGATGTGTGCTTTTTGCACTCCCTTTTATCACAATACATAATTGGTGACTCACAAGGTAAATTTGTCCTGTTCATCAAGTTCAAGTTGAAAAGGAGACTTAACAAGGAATCACTGCTTATTTGCGTTTTTACTTTCTTGCTAGTGTTTTTACTCTTCTTTTGAAATGCACCAAAGGGATTTTTTTTTCTTTTTAACAAACTGCCTTTTGCCCATAAAAAGTGTAGCCATGTGTTTAATCTTTTCTTTGTATTTACTATGTCCTTTAAGTGATTTATCCAGCCCCACTGGTATTATATACTTAGATTTTTCAGTAATATTAGTGAAGGGCTAGAAGTATTTGACATTCTCTCAAGTTTTTGACAAGACAGTGTTCTACTATGTGCCACTTTGTTTCGCTTATTCATAAAGGAGTACAACAGTTTTACAGCAAAGGGTAAAGCAATTCATGGCTTTCTAAGTGACTTTGAATTTTACAAATGTTTTTATAAGTACCATCTGCTTTATCAGTATATCTGTGATTAGAAATCTGACATATGACTGAGCATATGACTTATCGACCCTCATTCTGGGTCCAAACTCCTTCTTTAAGGCTGTCTGTTTTTTATACAGTATGTATAAACAAGCCAGTAAAAATATTCAATGGTGACTGTCAATCTTTCTGACTATTTGTTAGCATCATTCATGTGCATTGCATTTATAAGCTCAATTTTTAAAACCATATTATGTAACTACAGCCCATGGGCTCACAATATGCCAGACACCAAACATTAAAATGATTCAGAAAAGAATCACTCTGAGGTTAACTAAGAATTGAATGGGTAGCTAAGGCACCAAATTTTTTCATAGGGAGTAATCCAAACCACGCAGTAACATAATGACTAACTTTGTGTTGTGGATGAATCATCGAACGTGCTCTCTTGACTGAAGTTTGGCTGTTTTCAGCCTCTTTTTCCCTGCCCTGATAGGATTGCGTTTGTCTTTCGCCATTCGGGAGCCTCAAATAAACTTTTATTGAGGATAAAAAAAGTTAGCATTTATCTTCTATTTTCATTCTGTTAATAATATTATTCTGTTATAATATTATCCAAACCATAACTGTGTAGCTAACTACTAGGTAGCACACCATTGTGTACCAGCTACCCAACATTAGTAACCCTGCAAACATTTCTGCTGTTTAATTTTCTGACCACACTGATGTTGAAAGTGATAGCGGAGCTGCACATTTTACTTTTTTAGAAATTCCTCAGTCAAAACATGGTATTTCGTCTTTAGATGACACGTAGCGGGCTAACTTCCTGCTGACTTCAACTTTTGCTAGACTTTGTAAATCCTCTTTCTCATGCATGTCTGAATGTCAACGTTTATTGCAAAGCAGCCACGTTAATCATTTTACTGAACATGAAGGAATTTTGACTATTTTTAACTCTCAATGATCCAAGAGTTGTTTGAGTTTGGGAACTGAAGAAAGGTTCGGACCTAGGGCAAAGCATAGGGAACTTTTTTTATTAGCCATCCAAACACATGTACCCCTATAAACCCTGTAAAAGTCAGTTTTAACTTGTATTTCTGTAGGTCGGCTTGTGTTACACGCTCTTTTATGGCTGCCACCATGTTGTTTTTTTGGAGCCAGGAGTTACAATATTTGGACAAGACTGCTAAGTTAACAGCTGAGGCTAGCTAGCTTTTTTAGCCTAAAGTCTTAAAATGCCACAGTTTCACTCACCGAAACTGAATCTAACATGTCCCTAATAAATCACACAGCAAGGCATATTATGTTATCTGTCAAATGACTCCATGAAAAACTATCTAAAAAGGCAAAAACACCATTAAAAAATCTAGTTCTGGCAGCCAGCTATCAGATAGAGCTTTGTGCATCACTACACCTGTACACCTCAAAGCAGCCACACTCCCAGCATGATTATGCACTACTTCTACAACAATTTTAAACTTCCTTTGTACACCTTAATTCTTAATATGTAGTGTATGAGATTCACTTTGCTCTGAAGCGAAAAAGCAGTTTCAGTTGGAATTAATCTTCTTTAACTGATGCCAACACAGCAAGAAAGCAAGCAGTTTAACTTCACTCTCTTGGAGGGGGTTAGTGCATCAGTATGCTTCACACAAAGTACTTATCAAACTGCATAACGTTGCCTGAAACCTCCAGTGCAAAATGTTTTTAACTGGCTTGTAGATTTACTTTCTCAAAAGAATAGTGGTGTAAATTACTCAAGCTGCTAAATCTTTTTACACTTTACCACAGTAACACTGTTTACCCATGTGTGAGTGCACATCCAAAGCTGGAGAAAACGAGACGGGAGGAAACTCAGAGCATGTGCACGTAGGCAGTGCTGTTTAACTGCTTTGTGTGTGTGTGTGCGTCCATGTGCATATGCGTGCATGTGTGTGATTTTATATAACACTTAGTTGCCTGTTCAGCAGCAAGAATTATTGGTTCTCAGCCAGACTGCCTTCTTCACACTCTGTTCCTTGCAGATCTTATCTTTCTCTTCACGTTGCAGTAAGACAAATAATTTTCACTTTCACTCGCATCTATGTGCCCTAAGCTTGTCATGTGCCGTTTTCCATATGCTTTTGGCTTACAAACAAATGAAGGTGCAATCCCACTTCTTCCACACATTGTCTTTATGTTTTATCCAAAATTGCACATACGCATAGATAACTGGGCTTTCGTTGACTACCAAATCATGTTATCATCATTGTTCCAGTTTTCCTGAGTGTACACTAGGTTTTGGGTTACGTAATCTTTATTTATTTATTTTAGTTCGTTCGGATGCACAGCATCTAGTGATTCAGAGGACGGACATTAAAGTGATTGTCTTTTATGCTGATCATGTAAATCAGCATCAAAATGCTTTATTAATCACAGAGGCTTAGTCAAGTATTAAACGCTAGATTAAAATGGTTGAATTTCATATGCAGTTTCCTGGCCAGAAAAAGTGAGAGAAAACTGTAAGAAAATTACAAAAAAAAAAAAATTAAATGATTGAATGATAATTCTGTTGCTATCGCCCTAATGTCCTAAAATATCTCACAATCAAACCAATTTCAACAGTTCTTAGAGTGTTAATTTCAAACAAATAGTTTTAGTTTCCTCTTGAGAATTTTGGGTAGTCAACCTTAGGCATCAGTAGCCACGCACAGCTGTATTCCTGTGCTACATTTACATTCCCATCTTTTCAAACGCAACCTCACTGACATCACCGAACAGCACCTCTCCTCTCCACAGATGTGCTCTGGGCTGTCCTTGGAGATTTCCCCATGAAAACAAAGCTCTCCTCCCCTACGACTCTCTCTCTGTTTCCAGCCCCACTCTCTGCCTCCATCCATCTCAGCTGCTCTCTCCCCCCCACCTCACAATTTCACACCAATGAGCATGCCGCATGTAGCTCCCACTCACTGGCATCAGAAACACTAGATATCTTCAGTGCTGAGCAGTACAGTTTCAAACAAATACACAACAGCATTGGCTAGACGGAGGCTGCGTTCAGCCAAAAGGCACGTTGGGGATAGGCAGTGATAAAAAAGAGGGGGAGAAAGAGTCCAGCTGCTCTCTCACACCGGACTCAAGGTAAAGGATCCATATTAATTTATTGGGTGACAGAGTGTTATGTAATTCTGTTGTAGACACCGAGCTCCAGGCATTATGTAGGTCTTTGTTATTCTTGATGGTTCACAGCACGGATTATTATGTGTAGCTTTGAATGGAGGCTTACTAGTAAATCAGGGAGAACACTGTTGTCTAAGTGATATGACGTCTTTGGGGCTAATATTGGAAACACTAATGAAACTATTATGGGAGAGTAATTGAAGTTATGAACATCAGTGTCATGCAGCTAATTTTAAGGAGTGTTTGTGTACACTGCCAGTCTAAATGTCTTCCTAAGTGTTTTCTTATTTTCACATGCTTTCAATTCCGTTTCCTGTAAGCACTCCTGAAAATCAGTTCACACCGTCCCACTTTCCCTCCCTTGATTCTGGTAGCTCTGAGGGCTTTTCAGTCCAGTAAATGTCACTCAGCACTGCTATCAATAACGGAGAAGGGTTTTGAAGTCTACACAAGTGGCATCTGAGGGTGAAGTTGCATCCTGAACCTTCCTAAACTCCTTTTAATCCTTATTACCTTTTTTCAGCCATTGATTTTATTAACAAAGGGTCAATTCCCCCTAAAATATGGAATGACTTTTTTTTAAAATTTCTATCACTTTCCTCTGTGAACCTTTAGCCATTTTTACTTGTACTTGATGAGGAAACCCTATTTTCTGAGAGTCATACTGATAATCTTTTTTAATAGTAGGATCTCTACATTGGAAGGGAGGCTTCACATCCTGTCAGTGGTGGTTCTAGACTCTGGATGGGCAAAGTAAAAAAAAAAAAAAAGAACATTAACCCCCAGTAGAAATGCATTTAGTCATTTCAATCAAAAAATGTGCAAAATGTCACTGAAAAATGTGCAAACACATGCAGTTTGTTGGGAATGGGGCAAACAATTCAACGTTATTTTAACGAGATTAACGCTGACAGCACTAGTAAAGTTTAGATTAGTCAGTTTTAACGATGCTACCGTGAGTGTTTTTTGGGCAGTAGTAATAGTAGTAAAGGTACACTGTGTAAAATCTCACCAAAAGATGTCAGTGTATTGCAAATTGCAGTCAACTGAATTCTGTTAGCTTATTGCTCCTAACTAAAGTGCATTATCCTTGTGGCCGGTATAGGACAATCAACTCTGCCTCCAGTTTTTCTGTAGTGGGTGTAGGCCACTATGTTTGCAATGTATCAGTATGTTTGCAGTGTCAATATGTTGGGTGGGGAAGGAGATTCTGTTACCCTTAGTTAGTGAAACTTTGTTGTTAATGTTCTTGAAGGAACACTCAACTAATAAGTTACATACTATATGAAAATGTAATGAAACTGTTTATCAGAGGGAAAAACTAATTTTTAGCACACTGGCTAAAATTAGCTAACACGTTAGCTTATAACCAGTTGCTGTTGTTGTTCTGTTTTGTTTTGTGTTTTTTGTCCTTGTCAGCTGTTCAGTGACAGGTGGGTCACATGTCTAATCTGCTGACAATACCTAATTTTGACAGTAATAATAAATGAGTACGTTTATGCATGTTTTTATGTGTTAGAGTCCTGAATTCAGTTCAGGATATGAAGTTTCAGATGAGAAGGAAGAGGATAATGCTTTATGTAGATCCTCTGGCTTCACGTTTTTGCTTCTATGTTTCATCATTTGAGAAGAGGTTCCAATTCATCATAGGTATGAGCCTTCATATCCTGAGTCAGAAAGTGCAGGCATGAATTAAAATTTGCCTTCATGCCACACAAATGCCTATAAGAACTACTTACAGTATGTGTCCAGTCTGTTGTTATTTGGATACAATGTGATTAGACAGAGTTCCAGTGCCCATCACTGTATTGCAGTCACTGTATTCAAGATGGGCGGGGCAACATGTTGGCTTCCACAAATGCCTACTCTTAGGTATTTTTAATGGATTATTTTCAAGTGTATGAGGATGAAGAAGTTTTTTGGGAAGATGTTATTACACACTAATCAATGTATTCGTATTTGTACAACACTGTTGTGTCGATAGAGCATATGCCAGAATTGTGTCCCTGTGCACCAGTGATTTAAGGTGAGCATTATGCAATGTACCCAGTTCAATTCCAGTGAGGGAATTCTGTCACGTTTCATTCTCTTTGCTCTCTGTCCTCATGTTCTGTGCCTGTCCCAGCTGCCAGTTGTCACAAAAACAGAAGAAAAAAAGGTCTAATCCCTTGGCATTACATTTCCCATAAAAGATTATTTGACTTAACACATTAGTTTTATGTTATTGTATGATTGTCTGACATTGCCTCTACAAATAAAGTACAATCACCATAATGCATTTTGCAGAACATGTTCTGTTGTACTGTAATCTTTTTTTATAAGATTGAAGAAAATCACATATTTTTTAAAATTAGCATTGTCACCACAAGTGCACCACTGTAGCTCAGCAATGGAAGTCAGCGTATTCTTGTTACATTTGTATGAAACACAGTTTTAAATCCTGCTGAAATGAAATGCTTTTAGTAGACACAATATGAGGCCTAGGAGTGAATCAGATTTTCTGCAATTCAAAATAAGTCTCTGTAACAAACTGATTACAAAAATGACTGAAGGCAGGCTGAGAAAAAGAGACACGCTTACAGCCTGTAGTAGTGAGCAGTTAACCGAACAAAGCGTTTTGACACTTAGGCCAATGAACCCAGGTAAAGCAAGACAAAACACAAAACACTAGACTAGCCTACTGTGAGAAAAAAGACACAGTGGTGAAAAAAACAGAAGAAAAAAAAACTCATTCAGTCTAGTCACATCTCATCATTTTCAGATTTAGCCCACAGGAGATGACAAGCTCTAATTTTATCACTAAGCAAAATGTTCTCCACTAGCTAATGCAAGTCATTGCCGTGCCCTTATCATCCTAAACATGCGTGTGCTTTTAATAGTTCTGTGCAGCCAGTGACAAGCAGATTTACTTGAGTGTAATCTGACATAGCTCTGAGATAAATACTTGGCCAACGACTGGGCAGCCTTGTTTGCCCTCCCTTTACACCCGAGGTGAGTGACAGTGGTAAGGGCTCCCAGTGGTCACTTGAGAACTGTGGGAGGTGAAAGCAAAGATGTGTAACAGATTATTAAAGCACAGAATGTAAGGATTTCAAGAGGCATGCCAGGTTATCACAGTCAGTGTGAATACCTAAAATTTCAAGATCAGCAATGCTTTGACAGAAAACTAATCATCAGCTGTTGCTGGGGTCGACTTTGGTATAAAAAAGCATGAAAGTGTCTGTGTGTCTGTATGTGTGTAATATTGTATATGTAATGCAAAATATTTAATAGCTGTACTTATAAAGCAAAACATTGCCAACGAAAAGTATCACTAAACTCTGCAGTTGGTTTATTAATGTATCTGATTAAGTTTATTGTTAATCATAAGGTTGATTTACCATGAGCTTAATCAACTTAATGAACCCATAATAAGCACCTAGGTGGACAAAACCATTAGTGCCACTTTAACTATTAGCATTATCCCTGATAGCCAATGTACACCGGTCAAAATACTTTTGCTACAGTAGCATCAAAATCGGAATGAATTATCCCTCAGAGCAGCAAACTGCTTCAATGAACTGCACTGTTCTAATTCTGGGCTAAGGAAATTATAATGCTCCTCAATATTTTAGTTTGTACTTGTAGAGGTCTTTAGAAGTTGATCATATTGATGCACAAAAGTGGTGACGAGTGTACATGAGTAATTTTGAAATTAGGAGACACCAAAGAGAGTTCCTGTGATGAGTCTCCCAAAATATCAATCTATCATACTATATATCTAATATGTTTGAGCAAGGACGGTAGGACACCCACACCAATAATTGTCTTTTTAATTATTTCAGTGTTTTCATATTACATTACATTCACTTCTTTCTTTGTAACTTTCAAGAATCTTCATCTTTCTTCTTGGAACTTTATTTTTTAAGGGGAATAGAAAAATAAGAATTTGACTGTTCAATGTAAATCACTGTCTTTATTTCCAACGTGCATAATACAATGAATCATCTAAATTTCTAATATTGGTCCAAAAGAACATCTCTGTTTCTCCTCAGTCCAAACTAATTCTTTCTACAAGTATGTCTTGCAGCTCCTGCAGCCATCTTTGAACCACATTCAGACATCTTTTTTGAAGCCTTTATCTAACTCAGTGATGACAATCCATAACATTAATTTCAGCTGCCAACATAAAACATCAAAAGTGCATGTAGAGTCCTATAAAATAAAATAAAAAATAAACAAAGAAATAAAGAATGGCATGCCATTGAAGTGCTTATAACTGAAATCAGCAACCCCACTGTTCTAATGTCTTTGTTGTATAGGTTAAGTAAGAATTGGACTCCAAAAGACATAAGGCTATACAATGATAGTAAAACCTTTTTAGTCAGCCCTTTCCTCACCTGATAATGTAATGAAGACATAGCAGTGAGCAGTACCCACAGGTGTCAAGGTTGGAGATTCAGAAGACAGAGAGATCTTTTCTGGAGAACTGCTTCTCCAGTTAACTGTAAAAGAGCTTATGAGAATCCAGGTTGGTGGTGTTCTGGTCCATCACTCAGCCACATTTGGAAAAATATCAAGGCTTTGTGCATTCTCGCCACAAAATTAGGAACTATCAAGTAAAATTCTAAACAAGCTTGTTCCATTTTGCAAACAAGTTCTGTAAAGGAAGGTATTTAAATATAGTATATTTCAGCAGCAAAAAGCAAAAGCATGTTTGCAAAAGGGGTGCCAAAACTCTCTAAGCCTCTAATTTGCAATACACCACACATCAGATTTGAAAATCTGAAAATAGACCTTTAAAGGTCAGTGCATGCAAGATGGCCCAAAAATTCTCACATAACTAGCACTTTTCAGGAAAAGTGGGTTAACATTCCCCCAGACAAGAAGAACTCTTGGCTGTTACAAAAACTGTTTACAAGCTGTGATACTTGCTGGGGGTGAGGGGGACGGTTACTAAGTACAGACCGTGCAGTGTGCCC